CAATCATCAGCAATCAGTTTGTCGATGGCAGAAATGTAACTAATAATCGTCGTTGTCCTTGATTTATATAGTAAGAAATTCAAGGATACGAGACTTTGCGTCGATCTCCTTGTTATGCAAATGAAGAAAATAGAAGTCCGTAACCGTTCCGTTGTCAATCTCCCTCACAATTCGAAAACTGGACGTCATGAGTGCCCTCTTTTTCATGAAGCTACATTAATCTACAGTGCTATGCCATAAATTGTCAGCGCTTTGTCATTTTTTTCTTTGGCATAAATCTAAAGCTACAAATTCCGGGGCTGCTGTTCAGAAGATTACAGTACCAGTAGGGTCGCCTGCCAATCTTCCTTTTAAGATTGGTCCATGAGTACCACTTAGTGAGAAGGAAACACGAGGCTATGCGCTAGAGTCAACTCGAAAGCTTAAGAAAATCACTGGAAAACAGAGAACAATCAGAACTCTTAGGTAATGGCACGGAAACGTCAATTAGACCCATGCCGCCAACTTCTTCAAACCATGAACTTGCAAGTGAAATCAAGGTCCCAACGGTTGCAAGCTTTCATTCACTTTCATATATCTAAGGCTAGAACACATTTTAGTCAGCATTCTCATGGTCGTTGCCCTCAAAGGCTATTGGCTTATCTACACTCGGAAGGATGAAAGGGACGAAGGACTTGACTGAGGTCTGATGCACTTTCGGGGAAGACTACTGGATCTCGACAATGTGTTCAAATCATCGGTAGTTCTTCGAGTTCCACGTCTCCTGATCGTTCCGGAAGCAGAGGATTATTTCCTCTTTTATATTATGACATGAGTTCCGATGTACACTACACCTTTCATCAGTTCTACTTCTAATGTCACACCTCAAAAATATTCTCGTAAAGAACTTCAATAACGACATCGGAATTTGCTAACCTACTCGTTTAACTGGTCGCTTAACAAATCGTCGTTGCAAGAGGTACACGCGAACCAACGGTCGCAGTTCATCGAATGGTGGCTTCGCAAGATGCCGGTCGTTTGACCCCGTTTTGTCATCGTCGCCGTCTCCTCTTAGGCGAGGCTGAGGCTATTTTTTGTTAAAGACATGTTCCAAATCTGGTTTGTGACGTCTCGGCCTTTCGATCAGATAACACCCACCCAAAACCATGAATAAGGTCGTTCCTAGCGCATAACTGCTGGCTAACGGAGTGTGTCGGGGACGCGTTTTTCTATTCCGACGGTCGCGAAACTGACCTGTGTTGAAACTGGAGACGTTTTTAATCACCAGCAATGCATCATGGCGATTTGAGAGGCGTATTTCAAGCAAAAGTGAGCAAATGAAGATTTCCAGAAATGGCACTCACTTCTAGAGGTATTTTACGGTAGCTTTGGGTGGGCATCGAAACGCAGTGCCTCGAGCAACTAGAAATCCATTGTGACATTCATTTATCAACGCGGGCATTGCTTATTAGAGTTATGATATTTTCTGTTCCGTAGGCTGACGACGAATGGATATCATTCACGCCATTTTTCAGGGTTGCTTTTCGAGAGGAATTGTTCCTTCTACGATGCAGCAACAGGTGAACCTATTGTGAACCTGAAAATACGGCGAATATCACAGACCACAGACGTTCTGCCAATGAAAATAGAGCATGTGATGATCTCAATATACATGCACACACTCAACGCTTCCTGTGATCTGTGCCATAAATATTCACCTTATGAATATAGCTGTCAAATGACCTCTTTTTGATACAGATGCAGGAAAATTGAAATCTGCTGTTAATTAAACATGAAAATAAATGGCATTCGGAAAAAACAAATAAATAAACTTATCTTCATACTACGAATAAACTGGTATAATCGATTTATTGCACAATGGTAGCATAAGGAAATTTTTCCATTCATATTTTTGCGAGTGTACCGAGTCATCGGCGATTTCACAACATGCTCAGTGAATGTCGGCATGCACGCGCCATTTCGTGCCATCTTCAGGCTTCCTGTTGTTCAATGAGGTTCACTTTTCACTCTACCTCGATATCATCTGCTCATTGTCGGCGGAATACTGATGAAGTGATCCACAGTTCATATCATCACAAAATTAATCCTCGAAAGCTACAAAGTGTCGTTGGTAACCGCTATATCCCTCATGTACGATCCCAACATTTCTGTGAACCGAAAAGTCGGAAGGTCAGACGACCCCTTTAATCATTAGCTACACCTGATTGGTACACAGCTGAAAGTTGAAAGTTTACTCTCTCGAATATTCCTGCTTTTCAGCATGGATGAAACGAAAATAACCGTCAATACTGTTTCGTTCATTCATGCCTTTGTTTGCCCACTTATTCATTCATACTGGTCGGTAAGCACATATTTCCTAAGTCACAGCTCTACTCAAAATTCTACTCATTTCACTTTCAAAACACCCGTAGCGACGCTAATCAATATTTGTAACAAACCTTCCTGATCCATACGACACACAATGTCATGGACAGGAATCATAGGCTAGAAATGTCAGATAGATGGATTAGCCTACAGAAAGGACTTGACCATTCAAAACGGTATTGAAGCAGAACGAAAGGCCATCCATTAGTACATGTCAAACGATGAGTATGGGTCACCAAGTAGTCGGGACCGTGGTCGTTGATCAGAACTGCTATTCGACGAAACATTAGATGACGTTTTTGTTTACGTACAAATATGGATGAATCGAATTTTCCCATTTGGACGAAAAGGATTAATAACTCCAGACAAATGCTGAACTATCGCCCGCACACCGGATTGTCGTGTATTAGTATATCCGGTAGATTTTTATTTTTGAATAATTGATACTTATGTTATGACCTAAGAAATTTATAGAATCAGTAATACCAAAAGTTTTGGCACTTGCAATCATGCGTTGTCTCTCCGACTTTCAAATTTTAAAAAACTCTTCTACAGTATGCTTTTGTTTCATTTCGTGTTGTGTCACATCGTAAAATTTAAAACAAGGACATCTGATAACGATAAAATATTTTTCACGGAATTACTTCAAGCCTCTTTGTCAAACGATTAAGAAACCAGATATCTGATTCTAGACAACGGCCTCATTTTCAAGCCGCTCGTTCAGCGAGAGTGTTCTTGGACGAAAACAACACAGTTTATGTATCTCAGATGTTTACCTTTTCCTATAAATAAACAGTTTCGAAATCACCGTGCCTGGCAGCAAACTACCTTATCTACTTTTCTGCATCAGTTAAGCGAAATAAAACCGGTTGCGTGAATTTCGTTTGCATACCAAGAACTGGTAATAACGACGCGGAGTTCGTCGACTCACTTGCGCTGACGGAGGTAAATATGAGTTAATAAATCGGTCTCTTCTCGTTTCATCATTTTAAACATTAGTCACTGTAATTCATCATTAAGCATGACGCAAAACGACATAAACAGCAAGCAAGATTAAGTACGGAATCGCTAGCTGCCCGTGAAAACGAACGAAATATACGTGATAATCGACCGTTGAATTGGGTACAACAGTGTTGACTTAGATGCATGAGGATTAAATGAAAGGACCACGTAAAGAACGCCTCTGTTCTATGCCGAGCATAGGTGACATCCGAAGATGTGCAGGTAAAGAAATGAAGGTTGACCCTGTTAGACGAACTACTTGAGCATACACCACTTATTCTGGCGCGTAGGCTTATCCCGTGCGGACGTTGAACAGCAGGCCAGCTTACAACATGGCGAAACAAGGTTGAAAGGAATATTTCCTTCTATAATACAGTAACCCACGCTTCATAACGGACGTATTGAAAGGCTGCTAGTACAGTGGGTGTTACGAACCAGAGGCGTTCGTTTAATGCAACGATGAACTCAACAATAACATCTGCCACGACCGATCACTAGTAAGACGTCAACGCAACTTCTGGGAAAAAAGTGTTTCTATTTCTGGCCGTTTTCTGCGATAGGGCTTAAGTAATTTATCGTTTTTTTTCGGTCCAGATTATCCAACCCTAAAATCAGCACTTCCTCTGTTACTTTTTCTGTTTTCTTCCTTCCATGCATGCATAAATTTGTTTTTCACGATGTTGATGAAAAACGCACAAGAGTAAAGAAAAGATTTTCGAATTAACCAGTATGTTAACAAGGATTAACAGCTTGACTTTTTTTCTGTAAATAAAAAAATCAGAGGATCATACTTCTTTACTTGTAATAACATCTAGTAAAAGATACATTGTTTTCTTTGCACTTTGTTATGAACTTAATTTCATCCGTTATGATATCATCTTTCATCTGACTTGTCCTCGCTATGAGTACGTCATGAACGAATCGCTCCTTGAATCTTGTGTTCTTGACCATCGAGACCAATCGCATCGTTCACAGAGGGGTAGACACTGTTTGGGTTTGCGCGGTAGCATGTGGCTATTTTATCGGCTTTTCGTGAAAGTTTTTTGGCAAGTAATCGTTCGACAGTCCAATCGAAGTGCCAACCCTCGTGAATTATCAGTATTATGTTATGAACAAAACGATTTCTAAAGTTACTAATAAAAGCAGAAATTTACGTATTAAGAAAATTATACAACATGAATAAATTAAGGTGGTAGGGAAATTACCAACGAATGACGATAGTTGTGCTGCGAAACAAGTGCTGAAATCAAACTCTGGTGGCAGGCATTCGTCAAGAAGACATCTGACAAGATGAGAATATCTCATCAGAACGATACATCGAGGGTACCGAACAGTGAGTACGCATTTATTCGATTCAGTTGGAACAATTGTACGTCATCCCGCGTCATGTTTGAAGCAGTGGAATAAGAAGAATTAATACCAATATTCTACATTTAATTTTCCTCGTCTTTATATCATAGCATTTGCACCAGTTTGTTTTTTTGCTAACATCATTTTCAAAGCAATTCAGCAAAGTTCAAAACTTAAAAGTCTTTTCCTCCAGCAAAACCACGAAACAGTTCTGAACGTATCGCAACGAAAATTTAATCGACTTACTTCAGCAGTAACAATATGAAGGCAATAATTTAGGTAATACAGGAATGGTAACCAATTTTTTCTTAAGCAACAAAATTACAAATACCTATAAATCACTTGATCCCTAGTTTCGATAGTACAGAAAGTCCTTTCTCCAAGTACTCATCACGTGACATCCAAAAATCATCGCGATCTCTCATTAAGTATGACAAAACCGCACCACCTGAGAATACCATGTGTTGCCGAAGAGGAGGAGCCTCGATCCGGATTTTGAACTTCTATAAAACGCGAAGATTATACAAACGGCTGTCAATAAATTTAAGTGAGCACACAAATGCTTTAAAATACTGTTAACTAAACGTCAGCCGTCAAAAGCGAATAGAAATAGTGGCAAGATCAATCAAAGGTAAAAATACAATATTATATAGAAAATAGGCAACGAATAAATCCTGCCAAATGTCGATCGAATTCATTTCGCCACATAAAATGCGAACGTTAAACAGATCTTAACGCACTACGCAGGCTGCAGAACTGAATCAGAGGGGAATACAGGTAGCCGTAACACAAGAGACGCACTGGCTTGTAACAAGCGTTACGACCGCTAGAAATTATAGCTCTACTGCACAGGTAATGCAACTGAAGGGGCTCCTCACAGAGGTAATCTTCCACTGGCAATCGATAGGAATGTAAAAAGAGCCTCGTACACTGGAACATATCTGATCGAATCGTTATGGCAAGGTCAAAGTTAGGTACAAAGGACCCCCCTCCCACGGTAGTTGGTTGCTATGCACTGCAGAAGTTATAGCAGAAGCAGTAAAAGAAAACTTTATGCCACGCTGAGAGGCAAACCTATACCTTAATTGATTGTTTCTGGTGATTTAAATGCGAAAGAGGATAAAGGAATGAACTTTATAGATCTATTGGATCACTCGCCATTAGTGAGATGAATGATAATGGCGAACGACCAGCAGAACCGCAGGAGATGCAATATTTACTTGTTTATGGTATTTGGTTTCCTCACAAAGTGATGCATAATATACATTGTTACATCAGCAAGAAAGCAGAGTGATAACGTTTTCATCAGCAGACGTTATCGAGCATGTCCAAAAGATGTCAAGGTCTACAGAAGTGCTACAACAGCAACTATGAGTTGGTGATGACTAAAGCCATAGTTAGACTCTGGTCTTAGACTAGCAGCCAAAAATCTGCCGCAAAGTTTGAAGTCGATATGCATAAATGTCCAGAAATACTTCAGGCATATCAGATCACGATAGATACACAGATCGAAAATTCAGCCAGTACAAGAGGCTGCTGACGTTTACAGTCCTTTGTTTTTCTATAGAATATTGTTAGTGATGTCCTAGGGATTAACGTAAACCCTGCTTTTCAATAAAAACACATAATATACCATGCAGCAACAGCAATTTTCGCTGATTAGCGCAATATCGTCAGCAAATGGGTTATTCATTCTCCGTTGATACGCAATCTTACGTGGTTCTCTGTACTTTCTTCATTATTAATTTAAAATTTTCCACAACTTAGGAAAAATCGCGCTCGCTATTTATATACCTCCTCTGTTGCTGAAACTCACTCAAAGAACTGGAAAAACAAGTTGATATCAGTCGCTATACATATATCATTAAGTTTCAGCAAAATTATTCAACTTGTTTCGTAACATGACGTACAAAACAAAAAACCTTGGTTTATCTGCTTCGTACACACAACTCTTACCTTGAAAGCATCCGTGTTGCCCTTCAGCACCCGCTCTAAGTACAACTGTTTCACCTCGCGCTCTAACCTACTTGGCAAACCGGGAAACATCGTAGAACCGCCGCTCAAAACGATATGTTTGTAGAATTCGAGACGAGTATCTTAAACGAATGTATCAGAGAGCATTGATGACAACGATGATTAAGAGAGGGATTACCGATATCCGCCGCCTGGATGACGTTGAATAACATCTCAGATATGCCCGTTCCTTCAACGTTGATCAGATGCGGCTGGAAAAGCAGTTCTGGGGCTTCAAATCGCTCAGCACCCACTCTTATTACACGACCATCCGAAAGCTGATTTTAAAACCAAAAACAAATGAATACGAACAAAGCTCGTAAAAATGTTTTACCGTAAACGGTTCCACCAAAACGACTGTCTCTAGGGCCAGTCTCTTTTCTTGTTCAACGTCGTACGCTATGTAACACAACTTCTCTTTCAGTTGACGTACGGTATCAAAATCGGCAGAGTGATTGAATGCGTAACCGCGTAGCAGCAGCAGCTATAATGCAAGTACAGATGCTCAATGACCTCAGTGATCGCAACAACCACCGATGCGACAATTTACTTTGATCAGATATCTTGTTATGTCTCTTCCTGCGATGTCCAGACGGCGCGTAAGATGGTTTAAGGCGTATCCCTGATAAACTGGGCAAATATGCGTCACGCCATCGCCTGAATCCACCACTATTCCAGTTAAGAGACCTGAAGCATATTACTTTTCACTATCTAAAAATTATGCGTAACCAATGTAGTCAGTATCACTCAAAGAAAACAGACGTGGCGACATGGGTCAAATCCTATTCATACATTCATTTATTCCTCGTCTACGTTTGACTGGACATCTAACAGTAGTCTGATAAAACCAGTGCGCCATATCATTGTTTAATAGACGATATTCTTCTATGAATTTATTGAAAGGCAAATATGGTGGGTTTTGCTTAATCTAGTGAAATCTGATGCCACTCGAAGTGGACTGGGCGGAAGTGCCAAAATGTATCGAAAAAAGGCTGTCTTAGGCAGAGTAGTCAAAAATCATCTATATAACTAAATATACACGAGTATTAGCCAATCTCTTAAGCCAAATTTCAATTATTGAATGTGCATATTCTTAATACACGGTTAAAGTACGCAAAAATGAAACAACGACAGCAACCACATTGACTGGAATCTGTTATAGTCAATCGCGATAACGCCATTGGTAATTGTAAGGAAACTCGTCGATGGATAAGTAAAACCTTGTCATAGTTACTTTACACAGGAGATAATCACGAATATGTTCAAAAAACTAATAATACTACCAGTCGCCGACAGGATTTCAAGCTCATACAGAAATGACATGGGAAGCGGACAAGCTGCATTACAGATGCGACAGCTAGACGCTGTCGAAAGTGCACGCCAGTAACTTTCAAAATATTAACATGAAAAATTCAGAGATGCATTCTCGGCATTCAAAAGCCCTAGTACCTCCTGTAAAGTTATAACCACTCATTATAGTTCGCTACCGCAATTCTGCAGCATCTCAGAGATAAGGCACAGGATGAAGCACTCCTGAACAAACTCACTGGCTGTGGAACAGGCTATTGCCATCAGTCACGGCAACTTAACGTATCGGCACAACGCGTCTGCCGACTGTAAAATTACCATACATCATAGTGAAATTTACATAATACTGTAATGCATAGTAAAAGTGCACTGTAAACGCCATTATCACAGCAATCGAGCCATCGGTTCTGACGGTATATTCAGAGGCGATCCAGCTAAAAATGGCGAACTGTCTCTGTCAACCACTGAGTGGTCAGTGCAGCCACTTCAGCAGGTTTGTTCAAGGACCTAGTGAGGAATGAAGCGGTGAAGTCAATGAAGCATCATTGCTGCAACATCATTTTGTTAAACAGTGGCAGTGGAGGGAGAGTTACATATCTCAGTGGCCCAAAGGCACTAGCGGTTGTGGCTGTTGCATCGAAACCTGTCCAGTTACGGTACTTCATACAAAACTCACTGCAGAGTACAGGTAGAGGCAAAAACATTTTACTCGTATAACTAATATGGATCAATCTCCATAGATTATCATAATACAATGTTTTTTTATGCGGATCAAAACTGAACGCATTTGAAGACACTGAATACTTCGTTGGAAAAATAAACATAACTCAGATATAACAGGTCAAAATTGTTAGTGTAATCGAAGCGTCAGCAGCTAAGAATATTTTCTAAATGAAACTTCCAGAGATCTATGCAATGGTTTTAAATTAAAATTTAAAAAAAGCGAAATAATTTCTAAAGCTTCTGTTCGCTACATAGCATTTATTTAGTTTAATATGAAATTTAGAAGCGCAAAAATATTCTAAATCTGAAGCTAAATCCGCAATGATGATACCACGTAGGGTTAACTAACCCTCGGCACTACAAATATGCTGTATTTGATCATTCATGCTCAACTGATTCATATTTAGGAGGTACCGCAATTCCATAAACTTTGGTCTCTCCTTCCACGTGAATCCACGAACCAGTGTTCATTATGACTGGTGACTGGCGTTCAATAAGCGTTGGTAAATAAACTGGATCAACAGCAAGTGCTTCGCCACCTTGCGCTGTGAAATTCCTCAAGTCGTTTGAACTCAGAGTCTTTAAGGCACCACCTATTCAGTATTAAACTAACTTTTCGCTTACGCTTTCTGGTGATTATAGAAAGTTATATGGAGGGTCAAACCGAACTACAGTCATATAATCCATACATCAAAGACGAAAGATGAGTGTCTGGTGCACTCTGCCATGAGACCAACACAAAACCACGACGTCCGTATCGTTCGGCTGATTGCATCGAAAAATAATGGAGGACGAATTTGAGACTCAATAGAATTAGCCGTTAAATTTAGTTCCGGCTCTCATCTTCTGAAAATTTTGCTATAATTAATCAGTGCTACATAATAATGATACAGGCAAACGTCTATCCTATACTTTTAAACACCTAAAAACTCGAAAATCATATACCTTGGGCATACAAAGTCAGAACTGCCTGTATCGCAATATACACACTGTGAAAGCCGTACTGCTCGAACATGACCTATAAGAAATAACAATACTATGTACAGTGTATGTATATGTAGTACTTGTAGCATTCGTTCGCGATTAGCGTTCGGATTCATTGGCGGTTCGGTCAGCAACAATTTACATTCCTTCGGATCGATATCTAACTTCTGCTGGCCGAACGTGTAATCCCAAAGGTAGCACATGTCGTCCCAATTGCGCACGATTCCGTTTTCCATTGGGTACGAAACTTCAAGCATGTGTCGCAGAGCTGAGCACGTCTCTCCGACGAGTACATCCTGTAAACAACAGAGTATATTGGAATGTTTCAGACCATAATCTTAAAATAGCTTTCAGAAATCCATCAAGGTTTGTACTCCTGTCTCTGCAGCCGACCAAGCCGTTTCGCAGAAAAACAATATAAATTCCTATCACTTTCTAATGACTACTTTCAAACAGCTAAGCAAGCATTATTTTGCGGAATAAAAGCCAATGCTTTTATCCTAGAGTTCATCACCTCGCTACTATAAAGAATGTAACAAATTCTTCGCTGTATAAAAATAGATATCCGAATCGCTACCAGTGCATAATGTACTGATACAAAAGAAATACATCCAGAGTGAAGAGGATGGCAGGGTCACCACCAGGGCATTGCTGGGTTCAATCAACTCGAGAGAAGAACTCGAATGGCTAATATTACAATGCCATGTCGAGCGAAAACGACCAGGCCATTAAAAGAAACAACGACCGTTAATGTCACCGTTGAGTTGTGGCTGCTGAAAGGCTACAGGAGACAACTTCGATATAAAAAACCGGAAGGAACTGCGGACAATTATGCACAAAAATCACAAGGCGACTGTCAGCTATACTAGCAAATAGTGAAACTTCATACTTCATGAAAACAGGAATAAATGGGTTTCAGTAACCTGTACGTCCTGTCAGGCTGCCAAAAATCCCAAGCGAAATTCCGCGTCTTGTAAACGGGCCTGGATTTTCCTCGCCGTTTATATCTTTAACTTTAGAACACTAGCGAGGGAACAAACATTACACCAACAAGTGGAGGAAAGAGAAAGGAATGCCTGCAACATCCTCAGCCCCTGCAGAAGAGGACAGCGTAAGAAGATTAATGGCATCAATGAAAAAGGTAGATCGACTTGGCCATGAAGATGAGAGAGCGAGAAGGACACAGGAAGAATCGGTTTCATAGTCAGTAAAAACTAGTCCTCCGATATCATTTTCTGCAATGTGACGTCATCAAGAATGGATGTGATATGTCTACAGCTGAACAAAATAACGTAGAAGATCTCCAAAGCAATTCTGTCGTAAGTACAGCTGACGAGGAGGAAGTGGAAAATCTGTCAAGAAGATGATCGCCCCAAAGTTCATGGGAGATTCCAATGGCAAAGTCGGACGAAAAAGGGATGGTAGAACGTTCGTCACTATGCACAGTGCCGGACAGCAAAATAAGCGAGGAAACTTGTTAATGACCACGGAAAAAGCAAAACTAATGTACATTTACAATAGCTAATTCAAGAACAAGATCAAAGGAAGTGGATATGGATCGCATTCAAAGCGGCGACGAAAAACGAGATCGATAAACTCGACTTCATCTGAGACACACCAGTAGTGACACCATTTAACACCGGAAGTGACCACATATTGGAGCGGGTAAGGATAATTTCATAGGATAAGATCAAAAGGGAGACAACGGCATGCGCGTTTCTAGCGAATAATGGAGCTTGAAAGGCAGCTGCGACGACGACTACCAGAGGTTCATGAAAGAACTGAGGCGCTGGGTAAATTCAGCCGAGGTGCTAACATCAAACAAAAAGGAAGGATCTCAGAAAAACAGAGCTTACCAGAGAATTTGGGGAGGATGAAGAGAGATGAGTGTGACATGAAGGAGAACTCTCTTCTCTGCAAGCTCATTAGATAGAAGCTGCAGGAGGACTTCGACACCTACCGACTGAGAAAATTAGACAAAATAGCTTATGACCACAGAAGTCTCAGACAATGCAGGAGATAATGAGCGCTTTATCGGTCGATCATTACGGCCTTGAAAAACGCAGATGGTGCATCAGCTTCGTACAGCGCTGAGATGCAGTACCTCGGCAAGAAGTTTAACACCCAGATCTCTGAATCAAAGACGTATCCATTCCCCACAATCACTCTCACAGTTCACTTCCGGTTCATATAAGCATAATTCTGATTCTGTATGTCAGCAAATAAAGAAAGGATGAGTCTCGGGGAGAGAGAGGCTACAACTGAAGTGATCAGAACAGGTGGTCGGACAGTATGCAGGGCATTGGCGGACACCTTCAGCTGCTACCTGAAAACGAAAGACATACCATAAAGCTAGAGGTAATCAAATACAATTGCACTGTTCACAAAGGGCGAGAAGAAAGATCTGAAGAATTATTGCCTACCTGCATAATCTCACAAGCCTGTTCACCGAGGTCATAGCGAACAGACTGTCAATGTCAACAATGTCTGGACGAACAACAGCCAAGAGACAGGCAGGGTTTGAAGGAGTTACAACACAGTGGATAACATCTTTACCTTAAATCAGGTCCTGCTGAATTACGGAATTCAAACATCTCCTGTACATGGCATCGTCGACTACAACGCATTGGTGTGCACTGCACTTGTATAAACATCCGTTACATCCGCTTACTGAAGGACGTGAATTCTAGCTGTTCCATAAATATAACGCTGTTCGACACTCCATCCGCATTCCCATATATAAGGGCATGAAATAAGGGGATATTATTTCCTCGAAGATGTTCAGTGACTGTTTGGAAATGATGGTTTCATCCGGAAGATGAACTTGAAGGGTGGAATTCACATCAATCATGAACAATTCATACACCTAAGATTCGCTAATGACGTGGCACTGTTTGCAAAAAAAGTTAGCTAGAAGGGCATGAGGTAAATTAATATTCTACGACTACTCTCAAGTTCTGCTGGCGTTGAGAGAGCTACACTAACGAAACCGGTAGAAAGCCGCAGAACCGGACCGGCTCAGTGAACACGTGGCTTGTCTCACAAGAGCAGATCAGAAGGACTTTACCGCTGAAGAAAAGAGCATACTAAAGAGATGGCCATACAATGTCATGCAAGCAGCATCGTCTGCAAGGAAGCCAACTAGCAAAAAACAAAGATCTCGGAAGAGCAATTACACGAAGAGAGATAACCAGACAGGAAGAAACATACAAGACATGCTCAGCATGGCTTTCGCCGCTACCTATCTGAATTATGAATAAATTTGTACTTGTTGAACTGGCGTAAGCCTCTCATTACAAGCTCATCACCATACTACTGCAACCTTGTTTTCATACATCAAAGGTTCAAAATACATTCAAAAAATTCAAATATGCCACGAATCCGAATTCAAACAGAACTCATGATCTCATCCAAGAAATGGGAGGACAACTACACCAGGTTTGACCCTACTCGACGATGGATCGCTTCTTTAAAATACAGGACTGTCGGACCCAATCTTGCTCTGGGTTTACTAATGCTTGCACACGCCTGAATGCAAATTAAACAAATTAAATAATTAAACGAAAATTCTATTTAAATAAACTATTTTTAAACTTTAATCCAAATTCAGTAACTAGATCCTCTCTAAAACTTCGTTGGTACTGACACCCACTACTTTGAAAAATATTACAGGCATTTAAAAGATAAGTTTATCACCCTAGAGTTGTCTTAAAGAATTGTTCGAAGCATAGCGAGTGATGTTCAGAAGTCCTTTTGGCTCCGA